AAAGAAAAAATCTTAAAGCCAGCCCTTATCATTTATATACTTATCAAACTTTTTCTTAAACTCACTTAAATTTACTGCCTCTACAACGTTTGAAGGCAACCCATTCCAAAGGCCAACCACCCTGTTAGGATATAAATGCGTAAACTCACGCGACAGCGTAAGTGAATTATAGAGGGATACTATTGCGATATAAATAGAGAAAAATAGTTCGGCTTGTCAACTGAATTCTAAAGCAACTGATTAGGCCTAAATGGACTTTTTACAAGAAGAAGAGAACTGTATAGTGTTTAAGATACAACTATGATCTTCCTAGTGTAGAGAATTTTCTATATGCGTTTAACTTGTTTGGAATATAATTATTCACAAAACAAGTGAAGTACGTGCTGTTCGTTTATTGTCGAATTTATCGCCAGCAATTCACAGACACCTACTGTAGAAGAATCCTAAGCCTAACACGCCCAAATACTTACATTAGTATATATATTATTAAAAAGTAAGTTTCTGACACACAATATAAATCGTTGATGTAGTAAAAATTGGATTAATATAGTAAGATAATTTGGAGAAACTGTAAAACTGAGTATGTTAGCTACGGCTTTCAGATTTTATCTCTCGATAAAAAATGATGATAATAACTTAAAATTTTGTGCATATAAGGGCTTATAATGCGCAGCTTAGTTCAATTTCTTTAAAACTGGGCCACACGTGGCCTAGTGGTTAGCTTACCAGACTTTGAACCCGAGGATCTTGGGCTGGAGTCTCGTTGGCGCCAAATCGCTCTCCGCAAACAATCCACGGTATATATATATGTATATATATTGCGATCCGATAAAATATATATTTCGTCTTTTTTATTTTCTGTACGAAACAATATTAGCATAAAGATACAAAAGTAATATATTTTACATGTACACGCTAAACATTTTACTCCTTTTGTTTATTTTTCGTGTTCAGAAGAAGATCGAACAAGACTTTTAACAGATGGATTTTCTCCCCCGGTGTGCGTATCTTACTTAACACCAGAGGGCATGGTATTCAGAAACACGTGGTTGGCTCGTAAGTATCCATGCTTATTTTTTAGACATTTTTAACGGAATTAAAATTCTATCTTCTAATATTTCGGAAACATTTAAAAACTGTCTTGCCTCACGTCACATGGAATTTGAATAATTAAATTGAATTAATTTATTTGTGAAAAGGATAAGATTTCCAATTAGACAACTTCAGTAAACAACTATAGATCTAAACTTTTATTAATATAAACTAACTTAATAGCAAATATATTGATTGATTCAAACACTAGTTTATTTAATTAATTAATACTGACATTTGTATTTTCAAAAGTACTTTCCTGACAGAAATTCTAGCTCTGATGAATTCATACATTTCAAATTGTAAAATTTTCCTATAGTAACGGTAAAATATTATTGTTTCTATATTTTGCCTGCTCGATGTTAACAGAAGTAAACATATCAATAAATACACAACTGGACTGATTGAAATAATCTTGTTGTATCTGTAAAGAATAATTAGGGACGATGTTAACAGAAGCAAACAGATCAATAAATACACAACTGGACTGATTGAAATAATCTTGTTGTATCTGTAAAGAATAATTAGGGACGATGTTAACAGAAACAAACAGATCAATAAATACACAACTGGACTGATTGAAATAATCTTGTTGTATCTGTAAAGAATAATAGGGACGATGTTAACAGAAGCAAACAGATCAATAAATACACAACTGGACTGATTGAAATAAGCTTGTTGTATCTGCAATTAAATAATTAGGAACGATGTTAACAGAAGCAAACAGATCAATAAATACACAACTTGACTGATTGAAATAAGCTTGTTGTATCTATAAAGAATAATTAGGGACGATGTTAACAGAAACAAACAGATCAATAAATACACAACTTGACTGATTGAAATAATATTGTTGTATCTATAAAGAATAATTAGAAACGCGAAAAGATAAATGAAGTTGCATAAGATATTATTGGATTTAACCTCACATAAAACATTTTACAAAATATCACCTAAATTAATTAAGTTTAGCTTGCAAAGATACATAATATGTAACAGTGCAGATAAGTGGATGTACGTCTATTATAAATTCATGTTAAACTATCTACGTTTCTTCACAAAACTTAATAGAGAAACAGTAATAACTGATTTAGTAAACAAATTAATTAATAATAATAGTTTATAATACAGCAAATTAAAGTTGTAAGAAGTAGAGTAATTATAGGCTTAGCAGCGTATAATCTTGGTAAATAAAGGTAGTGTATGTCTGCGGACTTACAACACTAGAAACCGGGCAGAGCACAGATAGCTCATTGTGTAACTTTGTGCTTAATTACACACAAATAAACAATCAAGGTAGTCAACGAACAACGTACAGTATTGGCTTGGAAGTACAGCCATGCTAAATAAAAGTAGTGAAAGAACAATATACAATATTGGCTTGGCAGTACAGCCATGGTAAATCAAAGTAGTGAAAGAACAGTGTACAATATTGGCTTGGCAGTACAGCCATGATAAATCAAAGTAGTAAAAGAAAAATATACAATATTGGCTTGGCAGTACAGCCATGGTAAATCAAAGTAGTGAAAGAACAATATACAATATTGGCTTGGCAGTACAGCCATGGTAAATCAAAGTAGTGAAAGAACAATATACAATATTAGCTTGGCAGTACAGCCATGGTAAATCAAAGAAGTGAAAGAACAATATACAATATTGGCTTGGCAGTACAGCCATGGTAAATCAAAGTAGTGAAAACATAATATAAATAAGTACATAATCATAGTAAATCAAAGTAATATATGCAATATAATAAAAAACTAATACATAGTAACGAATTAAAATATTTTATTATCAAATAATAATAATTATTATTATTCAACCAATAATTTCAGAAAAAAAAAGAGTTAAAATTACGCCATTTTCACTGACTATGTGTTCTTCAGAAGAAAAATCCAGTTCATTTTATTTCCTCTACAGAAAGAAACATCGAATCTACACCTATAGCTATATAATATGAAAACTATAGATAATTCAAATATCAAACAACTTGAGACTAGTCAATACGAATAAAGAGATCCAGTTGTTTGTTTTTTTAAATCACCTTCTACATATTAATTATTACAACAAAATAAATATTTCTTCCAGCCTTGTTAGTGGATACTTGAGTAGTTACAATAACGAGGACATCATTAGCTACAGAACACTTTCCATTTACAGGATTGATCAAATAGGGAAATCGTGAAAGTATGAACAATTTGTGACCGTTACACATATATATATAAATATCCTTTTAAAACAACGGATGCTTCTTGATTTACCATAATAAATAAATAATTATTGTATTTATAGTTTTATTTTAACTTTGGATGTGTAATGAATGTTTCATTCTTTCGTCAGGTATGCGTAACCTAGGCATGTCTTGTGCCATGGTCAGTCTGATTTTGTTAGGTGCTTGTGCCATTGTAGGATCCTTTGGCCTCATTAAGAGACAAATATCTGCTGTAATGGTCACTGGCGTAATGTTTTTTCTGGCCGGTAGGTGTATTTTATGTTATGACTGTTTGCTTTCTTGATACTGTGTTATGATTAGTGATACTTTGTTAGGCTTCGTACTTGAATAAGGTCATTTCTCTTCCTAAACTATTAGTTTCTTGTGTAATATTTTTCTTGGCCGATAGGTGGAGTTATTTGCTTAAAATATTTAACATTTTTGTCACAAGGATCTCTAGTTTGACAATACTCTAACAAAGCTAAGGCTTTTAAAATTCAATTGTACAAAGGTGAAAGATTTTTTGGGGAAATCTAACGATTTTTTTCAAAAATATATTGTTGGAATTGATGGTTACTTTTTATAATCCTGCCCCCTCTTGTGGCGCAACAGTAAGTCTGAAGGCTAATGACGCTAAAAACCGAGCTTCTATGGACACGGTACAGATAGCCCATTATAAATTTCTAAATAAAACTATAGACTTTTAGCTATGAAATCTCCTCTTTGAGAACGATAAAAAAGTTGTTATAAAATCCGTTTCTCTCTATAAACAACGAAGAGAGTTTGTTTGTTTATAGTTAAGCACAAAGCTACACAATGGGCTATCTGTATCGAAGCCCGGTTTCTAGCGTTGTAAGTCCGCAACCATACCGCTGTGCCATTGGGGAGGGGGCTAGAAGAGATGAAGGAAATACATCAACAACTCGTTTCAAGTGTTACCTTATAACGCTAGAACTCAGGGTTCGATCACCGTGGTGAGCACAGCGCAAAGAGCCCATTGTGCAGCTTTGCAACTTGGTAAAACAAACATCAAGTACAATCTGTTTGTCACGAACTGTAAACCAATATTTCTCTGGTGCAATCTCTTTTAGCAATCTGAAAGAACGTCAAGAATAATGTTTTTATTCAATATTTCTTTATGTAGCTTATATTTCAGGTGAAACAAATTGCTTATAATAAGTTGTTAATCGCTACAGTCAGTGTAAAAAAATAAGTCCTGATCCACACACGTTTCATACCGGTGTAATAGTCTACTATTATTGGATTTTACAGTCAGTAGAAACATAAATCCTGATCCACACACGTTTCATACTGGTGAAATAGTCTACCATTATTGGATTTTACAGTTAGTAAAAACATAAGTCCTGATCCACACACGTTTCGTACTGGTGTAATAGTCTACCATTATTGGATTTTACAGTCAGTAGAAACGTAAGTCCTGATCCACACACGTTTCGTACTGGTGTAATAGTCTACCATTATTGGATTTTACAGTCAGTAGAAACGTAACTCCTGATCCACACACGTTTCGTACTGGTGTAATAGTCTACCATTATTGGATTTTACAGTCAGTAGAAACGTAACTCCTGATCCACACACGTTTCGTACTGGTGTAATAGTCTACCATTATTGGATTTTACAGTCAGTAGAAACGTAAGTCCTGATCCACACACGTTTCGTACTGGTGTAATAGTCTACCATTACAGAATTTTACAGTCAATAGAAACGTAAGTCCTGGTCCACACACGTTTCATACTGGTGTATTAATCTACCATTACTGGATTTTGCAGTATAAATGTAAGGTATTCTGAGTGAAGGTAGGTTCTCTGCTGTATCCAGTGCCGGCGAGTCGTTTCGCCTAATACCAGGACTCATCAGGCCGGATTGGTTAACGACAGACATGGGAGTAGTTGAGACGCTCGTTGTATTATATATTGGTATGAACTAGATTAAATTGGTGATATGTGATATTTATCAATTACATATGAGCCATTTATAAATCAGAATCAGGAGAAGGCACAATATCATTTATTTATTTATTGTTTAATAAGATGATCTGCCTGCTTTTGAACTGGCTTAATAACAATACCCAACAATATGAATGTAACTCTACGATTGACACAAAATAATAATACCCAACAATATGAATATAACTGTCCAACTGACACAAAATAATACTACCCTACGATATGAATATAACTGTACAACTGACACAAAATATTTATAATCAAGATATTTAGATCCCTGTATTTTGAAACATATTTTAACTACTATCTTAAGATATTATTTTTATTCTTTTCTTAACTAAAATTATATTGATACTCTATTTCAGCTCTGTTCGGATTGTTCACTCTCGCTTTCATGTATTTCAAAAGAGTAAAACCAGAGGGCGTCTACACAAGTACAGTTATGGACAAAGGATTACCCATGAAGTACTTACGAACCAGGGAATTTACGATGGGATGGTCTGCGTCATTAGGGTGGGGTGGTATAGTATTATGTATCATATCCAGTATATTCTGGCTGCTTCTGGCTCGAGTATTAAGGTATCAGGCTGTAACTTTGACATAGCAAGTATAGTGACATCTAGTGGCCTAAGTTTTAAAAATAACGTATTTATTTTACACATTCACGCATAACTGATTATCTGATATTTTTGAGTTAACTCTCTCTCCCTTTGGCTCTTATCATATATTCCAACTTAGTACTTAAGACATTGAAAATAAATAAATAAATAAACGCTACTACTTAATTCTTTTATTAAATTTCTAACGTTTGACTTACTATTAAATCAAATTGTATAGGTTAATTAATATAAAATAATCAGCTTTTTGCATTTCAAATTATCATTGTTAATCTCATCAATAAATCGAAATCAATACCGCTCTGTCTATTTACAAATTAAATACATTTACGGATATTACTAAAAAACATTTAAGGTAGATATAATATTGCACGCGAACATGTTGCACTAACGTAGTACTTTTAAAACCTGCTCCAATTTTATTTATTCTTAAAACTTGTAACTTCCAAATCCGATTTCTCTCCTTTTTTCAAAACTAGCTTCACGATTATTTACTTATTCATTTATTCTTCGCACTTGCGTCTTATATTGTAAATTGGGTGATATTTTATTCTAATTTATGTTACTTTAAAAAAAAGTAAAAATAATGAAAAAGTATTTAGAAATCTTAATTTAAAGGAATTTCTCCTTAGCTATTATATTTCGAATTTTACTTCAATTTTGACAAAATATTAAAAATTGTTTTTTAGAAGGTCAGAGAGAGGGCTGATATTGCTTCCAAAGTGCTAAATTGAAATATTTATAATAAAGAGTTTAAGTATCATTACTTTAAGTTTTATCTTGTCTTTTACTTTTCTCAAAGTTTTTACACCACTAATATATACGTATTTTGTTATAACTGCTTCTATTAACTGAGGAATTTTATTACATACAGGTTGACAGTTTTATAACATTTTTACCCTACACTTATTGGGACTCAGAATAGATATATGTCTCTCAAAATCAAAACTTTCAGACATATTAATTCAAATATTTGATACTTATGTAACGGTTGCCGATTATTAAGAGTTCAGTAGATAAAATATTTCAAGAATATCTCAGGCCTCAGAGAATAAAAAGATTGTAAGTTCCTAACGATATTGTTACGCTCAAACCACTGAAAATATATAAATCCATTTTTTATTTGATATAAATACATGTGGGTTTGGTGAATTACACGATAAAATCTACTTCGCACATTTCACTAACGTAAAATGAGACAATATATATATATCGACATATTTATTAATCTTGCATAAGAAATGCTTCAATTCAGAGGTGTTTTTTTGCAATAAACATTTACATTTTGACAGTGTATATGTTAGCTAGTGAACATCTGTATGTAAGAATACTACGAGGATATAATTAACTCCGTGTACTAGTTTAATCTCTCATCTAACACTCTTGGATATTAATATAACACTTTGGAATAATACTTTTGAATTTTCATTTAATACTGCTGAGTCCTCATATAATACTCCGAAGTCTCATCTAACAACTTTGAACTGTCATATATCTCTTGAACCCTCATTTAACACTTTTGATTCCCCTAAATTCTATCTAAACTGTTTTCTTATATCACAACTTTATATGGCTGACCTCTTTAATCTAGCTCTGATATCCCACCTTTATTCAGCTTATTACTTTATTCTATCTTGGCTACATATCAATATCACATCTTTATAGGGCTGACCTCTTTATTTCAACTTTGCTGTGTTTATAGATGTAAGTTGTTTTGATCAGATAGAATATAATGTAAAACTATTTCTTTGCTCCACGTTTATCAAATTTTCCCTTCTTTTATCTATTATAGTTAAAACTTTCCCTAAAGTAGAAACAATAAAACGATGGGTATTTTTTTCACAGACCACTTGAAAGTACTAATCAAAAAAATTTTTCTCTCAAAAGGATGCACCAGTTTTAATTAATATATGGTAATAAAGTTAACCTATTTTTCTATCACACCTATTTTCGTGGGGAAATAATGTGAAGTAAACTACTACTTAGCAGTGAGTTCAGTTTAAACATATATTATTTCCATGTTTCATAATAGTTTCATTTTCGGTCATTAGATGGAAGCACAAAATGTTCATACATAACGACATTTCAGGACATGTCATTACACAAACTCGATACCTGACAAAGCAATTTCGTTAAAAATGAATAGATATATATATATAATTCCCTACATTAATATTAAAGATATCGAGCAGTTGAAGTATTTACACAACTGACAGATCTGTGTACATTTATTGATCTCTGAGTTTAATAACACCAGTTCCTTAATTATCAAAACAATACATTATATAGTGGTCTTCTTATACATAAATCTTCAGTGGGGCTGAGCCTGGAGCTGTATGTGTATGCGTGGTATCATACTTCATGGCCTGGGATCC